TTAAGCTTCTGAATCATCCTGGCTGAAGGTCCTGATGTGTTCTTCAACATATTAACTTATTTCATCATGAAGCTAATTTGACATGAAGAAAATTGAATTTGAACCAAAATCGGCCAGAAATTATGGGTCAACCCAATAGGTTGCATAAATGACAGCAAGCGTTTTCGTGTTTCTTATTTATATTTTTACGATGGAAAGGCAGCTCATTGGAACTCAAGTCGGAAATGCTCAGTGATACACGAAAAAAGAAAAAAGTGGGAAAAATGTCTAGAACCTGAAAAATGGGCATCCCTTCTTTTCTCGTTGCGCATTGATGCGACTCTCATCGGTGCTGCTCTCTTCAACGCTAACGCTCTCTGCTGAACGGCTAGAGACCTGCGGCGAGTGGTTAGCCAGTCGGTGGGCGTACCGCGCCGATAGCGCCGCGGGAGGGCCATGCTAGATCGCCGGGGCATATCCTTCGCTGCGAATTGCGTGTCGGTCCGCACCCTTAAGGGGTCCGCCTGTCTCTCCGCTAGGTAAATTTCCTCTTTCCATTTCCAACATTCGTCCTTATCGTGGAATCCTTCTTTACATGTCTGAAATAATTCTTGTAAACCTCTTGACAACATTCATATGAAGTTCCTAGTTGCCTATGCGTAAGTTCCTATTAAATTTGGTGGCAAAATTTGTGGGTATATTGACGCGAATTAGCGACGACTTCGGAGAGGAATGTTATACTCCTGATCAGGTCACCGAATCAAATGTGTAGGTGGGATTTCCGAGAAGCTTTCTGAATCTTTGGATGTTTTATTGTGTTTCGTAGATGTAAGGCATCCTGAAATTTTGCCATTCCAAACTATGCTACTCGTCAGAACAATTTTCAGCGTCTAATTAATCCAGGTTTGCTAGTGACAACTTTGATTTCCTCTACACATGATAGGAAATGAGATGGAAAATGAGATATGGGAGCCTTGCAATAAATAAGCTTTCAGAGGCTGTTTAAATCGTTTAATTATCATGTTTCTGTATTTGTATTGGTGCATATGCGATTGCCGCCGGCATTTTTTGCTGGCACAGAGCCAGCAATGAACGCCGGCGGAGCAAGCTAATTCGGACAGCTCGTCCAGAAACACACCCCTCCTTATTTCTGGGGGAGGAGGAGTCTTTGTTTGAATGTTCCACGGCCGCAGCCGTTTTCTTCGTTTCTTTTTCATTTTCGGTCAACTCGGCATTTACAAGTTCTTACCGCTTTTCACCCCACCATCTCGTCTGGGCGTGTCCTTTATCTTGAAAGATACTAGTTTCAAAAATGCTCGCGTTGTTTCGTTTCCCGACCATGATTTTTGGGCCTGTTTCCTGAAATATGTGTTCTCGACTCCCGCGAGTGCCCATAAGTTTCTTCAGAAATGGCATACTGATGAGCGGTGGAACATAGAAGCTCACACAAATTAGTTCTTCAGATCATTCATTGGTTTCTAGTGGCTCTTGAACGAAAGTCTTTCTCTGCCAAATTTTCTATCAGAAATTCTAGATCGCGGCCCTCCAAATTGTTGCAGCGTTACCACTTGTTTTGGCTCTGATGCCGCGGAATTGCTCGAAAGAACGTGTTTGTTTGTGCTCACTGGCATGCTCTAGTAGGAAACGCTGCTCTGGGATGCGCCATGTACTCGTGTGTGGTCAGTAGTCGCAGTGAATTTTTTTTTCGCAATTTGAATCCTGTTTCTCCTTGCCACTGCTTACTTGCCTTGGAACCTCCAAATTAAGTGACTGCCTCCTTGGCCTTACGATCTCTCCACCAAAAGAGGCCGTCCACCCCGTCGATCTTGGCACATGGTCTGTTAAAGAAAGTTTCCCGAGCGATACTATTCCGTTACTGTGAGTTGGCTAGTCGTGTATGAAAGGGGGATTCTGCACGATAAGGCGTTGGTGTGAAAAAAGGAAAGCTAGCTATGTAAAATCAGGCAGGCCTCATAAAGGGTGCGGACCCGATAACTTGATTCGCTTGCCCGGCCCAGTTGGCTGGCGCCTGTGTCCAGCAGAGAGGGCGTTAACGTTGAAGAGGGCAGCACGACAGTCAATGCGCCTGCTGAGGACGCTATGTGATCCCATTTATTTTGTAAGTTGTCTGCAACCTATACGACCTGCTATATTTTGACCAGAGATCTGGCTGATCTGTGCGTTATACAAGTGTACATTTTCTTTGTAATACAGTTCAATGTCTTCTAATGGATCTTCTTCTTCTCGTCCCACCCAGGACCACAGAGGCAATATCAGCGGGCAGAAAGTAAGGTCCATTTTCGGTTTCTAGGCTATTTTCCCGATTTTTCATCTTTCGTGTATCACTGACCATCTCTAACTTAGTACAATAGGTTACCTTCTCATCGTAAAATTTCAAAATTTTTGATGACAGAAGTGGTGTGTGCGCCTTCAATTCAAGAAATTTCTGTGAAGAAGTGGGTGTAGAAAATTTCAGTCAAGGGCTTATTCTCCTTGACCACTTTTGAGCTGTGGTGAACATTGTTACAGGTGGCGGGTTCAATTTCGGCTATCAGCTACTCATCACAAACCCAGCTCAATTGGCGTTCATACAATTTCTGAACGACTCCTATGCAGAAACCCACGGTGTACGTGAGGATCGTGCAACTCTTGAGGTTTGCAACCTTATTTTTCCTCATAGTATTCAAGCATCGTTTTTCTTTGCCTATATTTACATTTACATCAGTTTCTATGGGGAGTGATTGTGTCGACGTTTTTCTGGGGAGCTACGGTTGGAGCACTGCTGATCCAAACGACCGCTGATCGTCTTGGACGTAAGAATGGCATCATTTTCACCTTCGTCGTACAAATTATTGCAGTCGCCCTGGAAATCTTCAGTTTTTTCGTATGTGTGGAACATTTCCTATTTATTTCCAGTTCAGTTTCGTTTCTGTTCAAGCTTTGTGGTATATCTCCGTTTTTCAGGCGAATAGTTATATCGTGTATTCAGTAGCGCGAATCGTGCTCGGTGCTGCCATAAGTATCTCATTAGGAATTGCTCCGATGTTTATCATCGAATGCAGGTAAATTTTTAATATAAATATGAACCCTCTGTTCAGAAAACCAGAAGCGCGTCGAGTGCAGACCACACACCACAAGTGACGACGGCCTCCAAGTAAATCTGGTTAGTAGTGATTCATAGTGATAGCTGATGTAAATGATAGTTGTAATTAGTGACAACTGATAGAATACAACTGCAACAGGCTAATCATTTCATTGGCAGAAAACACACATTTTGTGGAGGCCGTCGTCACTTGTGGTGTGTGGTCTGCACCGACGACTTTCTGATTTTCTGAAACGAGGTATAAACTTCCAAAGTGCGCGACAATGAGCATAATCTGGCTGCACGCATCTGCGTATGAATTATTCCAAGATAATGAGAAAAGTTCGTACATGGAATCATGACGCGGACGTTTTCGCGACGAAAAATGGGCCGAACACCGTTTAGAAAAACAAGTTACGCCTCGGCGTAACGACCCGCCCCCAAATGTACGTGTTGGCGCGGTATGGCTAGCTTGAGCTGTCACTGCTTCCTGTTTTTGCAATTTTGCCCAGGCCGGCTCGTAAGCTTGGATTTCTATCTCAAAATCGACGTCCAGCGCGAGGTGATACACCTTCGGCGTTGACTGTCAGGCTATTTTTGTTCAATTTTTTCCGTGGACCATTTTTTCCAGCTTTTTGTCATTTTCCATATTTTTTTTTTGTGGGCAACCCCTACCACACAAACTTGCGAACGGTAACTAACAATGTAGCTAAAAACTAAAAGTGTTGTACTGTAAGTATTTTTACGAGTACCCATAATAAAAAGCAGAAACAGTGAGATGTCTTCGTTTTCAGTCCTGTAGGATGTCGTGGCATGATCTCGATGGCGACTGGCGTACTGCTCCAACTTGGACTCGTTGTTGGCTCAATCACTGCCATGCCGGAGGTACGGTGAATTCGGTGACATTACTGGCGACATTTAATACGGCTCCAGCAAGGGAAGTTATGCCTTTGCGCTTTACGAGGCCATCCATCCCCTTTAAATCGTCATCCAGGGCTTCAATGAAGCGCAATTTAAATCAATTTGCGAAGGATGGTGCAAGTTATGACTCGCGATCATATCAATTAAAGCTTCTTTTGGTTAGTCCAGCTCAAAGTGGCAAAGGTGGTGTTTAGCAGGGTGCCGTTATCATCTCCTTACTGCAAATTTCGGATTCCACATCGGATTTTGTCCGGGTTCTCCAATTTCTCAACCCACGAGGTTGCTTTTGGTGTCAAACTTGTCGTGTGGGTCAAATCCTTGACTTGTTCGTATACTGGCCACTGCAGCTATTGTGAGAACATCCACGTAATCACACTCAAATTCCGGTTCCTTTCTTCACGGATGTCGAATGCGTGGCGCATTTCAGAGGGGAGACTGTTTACCCCACAGCAGTTTGTTCACTATTTATGATTTTCCGGACGACAGCTTTTGTGGCGAATACCGCTTTGAAGCGTCCTATGTGATCATAGAAAGAGCGACTCTAACTCTATTGTTCAGGTTTGGGGTACAGTGGACTCGTGGTGGCTCGTCTATGGCCTGGAACTGTTCCTTACAATTTTCATCACGGTCCTCATTCTCTTTATTCCAGAGAGTCCAAGGTTAGCATTGCGAATTTAACTATGTACAGATTCTCTCAGTTGCTCTCCTACAAACATCATTTAAGCTTTCTGCTCACGAAAGATAAGAAACGACTAGCAGAAAAGTCAATTCTTTTCTATCATGGCGTGAGTAAAGCCGAAACTGAGCCGTTGATGTCGGATATGAAGAAAGGTGTCGAAGGAGACAAACCACTTGGTCTGTTCGAGATTTTCATGGTGAGTCGTGGAGAATGGAATGCGCGGCTCTTGTCCACTGCATAGCTATTGCACACCATTAATAAAATGTGCGTCATTTTGTCTTGGACTCTTATAATTCTGAGAATATGCTTTCATCAAATGGCTAAAATTGCGTTCACTACACCTCAATGATAAAAAAAAATTCCATTTGATCGGTAAATAACGACCCTTTTCTTCATACAAGCTGCCTAGAGACTAGAAGGGAGGACATGAAGACCAATGAGTACCTCGAACTCACCTTTCTAGTTCATGCCACAACGGTAGAATTTGAAGAGTGAGGTTCCGAAGCGGAGCTGTAGGTGCCTTCGATTTAAGTAGAAACGAAAGAAATATCGAAAACGCTCGTAAAAGAGTACCTGGGCCAAATTCATTTGGGTGTGCTATGCTGCTTAGAAAGGAAAATACAGAGCTGTCGAGAGGAACGAGACGTCGAGGAACGGAATTGAGAAAGATAACAGCGGCCGCGCAGTCGTCAATATTAAAAGGCAAAGTCACGGGCAAAGACGGCACAGGACGCAAACTTTTCATTGCGGTCTGATTCATATGAACAGAGCAAGGGTGGGGCTTGTAGTCAACGCCTGCATTTTTCAATTACACGGGTCACTGCAGCTTCAAATCTGGAAACGTGCCCGTGAGCGTTCCAGAGGAGATTAGTAAACCGGAAAAAAGTTCGGTACCTATTGTCGCCACCTGTTTATCACTTTTCACTAACATTTGTAGTTATCTCTGCTTTTGAGGACAAAACGTGCTTTGTGGATTCCTGGTGCGGCATCGCATAATGATGGACAAGACTATGCCGGCAGTAGCAGGTAACCCTTATGCTCTTAGTTCTGCTTTAGAGAGATGCAAGATTTTTTCTATGGAGTACTCCCCCACTGCCGTAGCGATCTAAGACTATTTCAGCATAGTGTTCGAATTCGACTGCTTTCTCATATTATAGTTTAGAAGAATGTTTCGAAAGTTGATAATACAGGGTAAATCGTGAACGTTTAGTGGGATGAGATAGATCTGAAGTTCGTTAATTCTCATCAAGAATTATAATCACCTACACAGCGTGCTCTTCCTGACTGTAGTGCCGTCCAACAAAGAACTTGAATCAAAACCTGCACTTTCTTTGTTATGCGTTCATCTCTGCCCCCACGTGCCCGTTTACTCTTATTAGACGTGGCATTTTGTCACTGTCTGAACATCTTCTAACCGCCTCCAGATTCCTTTGAGTGATGTCCTCCCGCTCTTCTTTGGTGCTGCTCTGCCACGTCGTTGATCTTGGCCGAAGATTTGAAACGTCGCTACTCTTCGCTGGGTGGACGCCGTTCAGTAGGCAATAGCCCGCTTACCATCGAAGACAAAGCTTGCTACTAGGTGCCAGATGGAAGGGGTGCAGTCTTGCAGAAAGACAAGTTCGGGACGGACGTTAAAGAAGTTTGTGCGCAAGAAACTTGAATCAGCGCATAGCACGTACTCAATCTTGGCCACGATTTAAGAAGACTGAGGCGCTAAGGGTTCAACATATGGCCCGCTCACAACCATGCGCTCCACACTCGAGTGCAATTTTTTTTACTCCGCCGCTACACTAGAGGGGCTTTATTTTCGGCCTTGTCGACGATTTTTTCTCGCTTTTCGTATCACTTATTTTGGGAAAAAGATCGTTTATCATGGGGTTTAAAAAACATGTCTTTCACGACTGTGGATCCTCATAACAGCGTGACTTTTAGCCGTCAATGCGTTCGCATTCGAGATCCTCCTCAACGTCGGACTTAGCCCGCTTCATGCATCACTCGGTAATTTGGCCATCTGCGTAATGGCGGTGGTGAGTACTTTCTTCAGTTAAAAATATTCCAGCCCGTCTGCTCCAAGAAGAGGTGAAAATTTGAAAACCGAGTGTAACAAAAATACTGGTTTATGGGTACCCGACAGGAGGCCCGTCGCGCGGCGAGAAGGCAGAGACGCAGACGGGTCGGCGGACGAGTCGCAGCGCGTGTGTGTGATGTGGGACGTAATAGTACATTCTATTCAACTTGACGCGAAATCACTGCAGTACGCGCTGCGACTCGTCCGCTGACCCTCTGCGTCTCTGCCTTGCTCGCCGCGCGACGGGCTCCTGTCGGGTACCCCTGAATTGTGGGAAGGATACTTCGTCTCAGGTGAGAAACAACTCGGACCTCTTGCTCCAGGGCATTCGTACAACCAATTGCACCCCGGAGCGTTGGTACATTTCTACTCTTATTTCAATACAAAACTGCATTAATCAAGACTGAAACATGTGAGGGCTGAGTTTTTAGAAGTGGAAGTTTATGTATGTATTGCTTGATTTTTGTCAGAAAAGTCCTTTCTTCAGAAGTTTAGATTACCAGCCTGACTGTGTTATTGCAACTCCTCACATGTACAGCTATCTTTTAGTACGGTCCTGCTCTCATACTGAAAAATACGTGTGTTGTGAGAAGGATGCCCGCCTAGATGATTCCTGTACAAATTAAAGGCCTGTCCCATGATTACCAGTATTTGATTATTGCGCTCGCAAGTGAAATTAGAATTGATAATTTCACCGTCACTGTAGGAAGCATTTGCCGCAAACACGAGGGCCTAGAAGCCCTTTCTTCTCATCGGTCATGAATTCGCTACATAAGAAATTCAGTATGCATCTACAAAGATGATGGTGGCAAGCGAAAGCAGACATGCCGAATTCCACGTCACGATCTTCTAGCCTGTTATCAGTGCCCATTCTAAAAGCCTTGCATTACGCATTGCTCACTTACTTTCAACTGTGCGAGTAATCTCTCTAACCGATGGCGGCTTTCAGCAATTCTGCTTACAAAGAGTGTCGCTCCGCTACATATCGTAAAATGTACCTTTGAGAGACGTTTCAGAATCAGAATGGTATGGATTCTTGCGCATGGGGATGAATGCAGTGACGTGATGTGGGCCGGCAGTGAAGAAAAGGAAGAACATCCTTCAAAATCGCCAAAGTTTTGGTCTTGCTGACTTCTTAGCGCAACAGTAAGAGATTACAGAAGAGGGAAATGGGCGGGAGAGCGGAGTTGATGAAAGAGTCAGCCAGATACTAGTATGGTGTGGTGAACAAATGGCAGTCTAAGCGGTCTTTTCAATGCCATGGTCTCCTTGTTACGCATAGTCGGGAGGACGGGATATCCGCGACCTCTGGGAGCAGCCCTACCTTTGCTCACCTCAAAGGAATTCATCACATGAACCCTTCCGACGTGCGCTTTGAGTAACATGGGAGAACAATGACTTGATGTCGATTTTCGCGGGATTTGCGATCTGTATACCTAACACTTGCAGATTTATTGTTGCATGTATCCTGTCGGCTCCTTAGCCAACCCCTTCGAGCGCATGGAGGAAACAAAGATTAGTTCAGAGTAGTTCATATTTTCACAGAGTAGTTCATACAGAAACAGAGTAGTTCATATTTTCATCGTCCCGTAAACCTTGCATCAAATAAATAAATAAACTACAGTCAACCTAAGTGAATCAAGCGCGTTACTTCTCGTGATAATTTCGGTGAAGTGAATCCTTCAGATGCTGTTTTGTATCAGGACACTGAGATGAGCGGATCGACGCCGACCGCTTCTCCTTTTCAGCCCTTTGTGGAATTGGCCCTAGTGACACTGTTCTGATTTCTGGATTCCATGTACATGTTCGGCAGGTCATAAGGTGGGCTTTACCATATTTTAAGTGATTTTCTTTTGAACAAGGGACAATTTTTCAGGAAGCAATGGATTGGATGGTGCGTGGTGTTGTCGATTTGTGTTTTCAACCTGGTATTCGCCACGGGACCTGGACCGCTCTGCTTTTTCGTGCCTGGCGAACTTGTCAGTCACAAAGCTCGAGCCGCCACGTACACATGGCTGAACATTGTAATGAACGGATTGTACGTGCAAAATTGGCCTTTCATGTCCCACTCGAGCGTTACTGTCTAATGTCTTTTCAGTCGCTCGCTTCTGTTGATCGTCTATTTCCCTATTCAAATTGCTCTTGGTGGACCTCTGTGCTACTTCCTTCTGTTCTTTCCACCGTGCGCTATAACTGTAGCGATTTGCTACTTCTTCTTACCAGAAACTACAGGGTTGACGCCTGAACAGGTAGCTTTCAGAACTTCGGCTTCCTTTCTCATACTCGATTTTATACAGCTTTCAGAACTTTGGCTTCCTTTCTCATACTCGATTTTATACAGACGTGTGCTAATAAAAGGAAACAGTAAAAGGAAACAGATTCAAAAGCTTCCGCCCCTGCTTACGGCTTGGAACAATGATAGGTGAATTAGCTGTGGCAAATATGCGAACGGGGGGGGGCAAAAATGGCTGCTGCACCCATGGCGCACATCATCAAATTTTCGTCGCACAGGGCGCCGCTGTTGATGGGAGTTTTACGGCAAATATTCCCTAGATGTCCCCCATAAGCAGAAGCAGGCCCTCCTTCACTGCCCTCACCGTCTTCAGAATATGACGTCATCTGCCGTCACCGTCGAGCTCAACGAGGCCTACCGTAATCGCTCCAGCCTGAAGCTGCTACTTCTTCAATCGGTTAACTGGTGGATAGCTTTTGAGACAGTAGCTCAGGTTATGCAAACTGATTCTGATGGCGTTCACGACAAGGTCCTAGTGGTCCACGATCAGTCGACGACTTGTTGATCTCGTGCCGTGCACCATGTTCTCGAAACAAAATCTTTCTATGTCGTCAGGGTAAAATGGTCATACAATTTTTTTTGATAGAATGGAATATGTCCTTTAATCCTCAACCGGGATCGTTTGGGCTGCTGTTAGCAATTAATTCCGTATCAAAATATGGGGGTAGTGACTCTTTTTTGCCCCCCCCCCCTTGTATACCACAAAATGAAAGCCCATTAAATGTCCAAGTTTGTGGGCTAGTCCTCCCAGACGATTCCGGCAGAATCCAAGCGACTATGAGGAAACTGAAGGCTTGGCCAACCTAGATGTGCTTCGGTCTGTGCTTGATATTCAGAAAAACCATATACCTGGGATGCGGGCCACGAGCCGCTGAACCGGCCTGTCTAGTCTGTTCAATCCAGGTTCAGAGTAGATTAGCCAACTTCAAAAAATTCAGGTGCAGTGGTCATGGTTGTGAGTCAAGAGTAAATCCCTCTCACTTTAACTGGACCGAAGCTTTCGTATCGTTTCCCCAAGGCATCGCCATATTCTCGATCTCCATCTGCAAATTTATACTCCTCATCGTTGCATTTGAAGAATTGGTGCACTGTCACTTCTTCTCAATGTACAGTATGCCAACAACCACCCTAACTTTGATAAGGATTGATAGCATAGCATACAGCACGCCACAGAGCCTCATTCCAATTCAATGAACTCTTCAGAATATTCACTCATTAAGGCACGAGTCGCATGCATCGACTTCCTGGCTTCTGTGACAAGGACATCAAAGAGGAGGTCGAGCAGAAGGAGCTGGTCTCAGACTAGAAAATTTCCTTCTGTGCCGTTCTTTTCGTTATGAAATCTGCTATATTATGTTGCTTCTTCTGATTATGTTTTGCCTTTGTTGCGCAATGCGTAATTTGAGCAAATTCCGATCGAATTTGTCTGTTGAGAGTTTTCTTGCAAAGAGATTGTAGAATATTTTTTGATAAAGGCGTTCTCACTACCGAAGAGCCACAAAAGTCCAAAGCCAGAAAGCGCCGGAGAGGTTCAGGACAGCAGTGTGAACGCGACCTAATCCACGAGTTCGTTGGCTTAGACCACCAACGAACGGTCTCTAAGCAAACATAGCTGTGGTGCCCCACGCCGTTCTTAGTAGCTGGATCGATCGGCAAGATGACTAACTACATGAGCGCTAAAGAATGTGATGTAAGAGACAGTTCGATTGTGCTGCGTTGATTGAAGTCTCAGCAAAACCAGTTCGATTGTGCTGGGCTGATCGGAGCCTCAGCAAGCCCTATAAGAATTTTCTAGCTATTTAATCTTACAAACTAGCTCCTCAATTCTGACCCAATTCTAGAAGGCGGGTTCTGGGAGGGGCTGGAAAAAATTGAGAATCGGACCAGCCTAGAATAGTGAATCCGAGTCGTCAAAATCTGTTTTGTATTCGAGAGGACCCATGGTGAAGCCGGAAATTTATTTATTCAAACCATTTATCCATTCATTTATTGTGGTTGAAGAAGCGACTTAAGTTAAATCCGACTTAGAGCTCCTCGTGTAAAGGTAGACGGGTAAAGAAAGGAACGGCCCACTGAGTAGGTCTACTCCTACGACTCTGACCTCTTATACACAGTAGCGCTGCTCCATGAGCGCCAGTCAGAGTCGAGAACGAAGGAACTCTTTAACAAGATAAGGAAGTTGTTCAGAAACTCGGTTCTCTAAAGGTATCTTGGCATCCATAGCACTTGGAGTTTTGTAGGGTGATTTGTGAAATAAAACCTGGGTTAAATTTCTGTTTTCTTTTGTCCTGAAATTCTACTGAGAAGATGCCAGTTGTTAAACTCTTCCCTGTATCACCTGTATCACCTGTCGTCCCGTTGATCGTCGATTTGCTCGAGCGGGCGCCAGCAACGTCTCCATTCGTCCCTGTCGCGTGCTAGAGTGGTCCAGTGGATCCTCCTTGCTCGAGGGACACGAAGTCCATCATTCCTTTCGTTCAGAGCTTTCGTGAAGAAGTCTGACCATCGGGCCGGCGGTCGTCCAGGTGTTCGTTTGACGTCCCGAGGGATCCAGTCGGTAACCGCTCTGGTCCAACGGTCATCGCAAAATCGCATGACGTGTCCGGCCCACCTTATCTTCGATTCCTTGGCGAAAACGGCAGCGTCCCTGATCTTCGATCGTTGGCGTAGTTCGGCACTCCGGATTCCCCTCTGCACTTGCGTGTATAGGGTTACTCCTAGCATCGTCCTCTCGACAGCGCGTTGGATAACGCTGACCGCATGCTCGTCCTGCCTGCGCAGAGTCCAAGTCTCTGAGGCGTAGGTTAGGGCAGGAAGGACAGCGGAATCGAAGAGGTGGGCACGGAGCCGGATGTTCTTCGTCTTCTTCACTACTCCCTCGATGTTCTTGTACGCTCCCCAAGCCGCTCGTTTCCTCCTGCTCAGCTCTGGAGCTAGATCGTTCATCATATTGATTTCCCGACCTAGGTACACGTAGCTGGAGCATTCGGTGATGTTCGTTCCGTTGAGCGTGAATGGGGCATCAGGAACCAATCCGTTTCTCATAAACATCGTCTTCGTTAGGTTCAGCTGTAGACCAACCTTACCACAGGCGCAGTCGAAATCAGCCAGCATTCGCTCCGCTTGCTCGATGTTCGGCGTTATAAGAACGATGTCGTCAGCAAAACGAAGGTGGTGTAGTTGCCGGCCGTCGACCTTCACTCCCATGTCTTCCATTCCAACTTCGTATAGCTATACATTATCAAGGCAATCTGCATGGCGCATGACATATTAAAAGCTGACCCAAGGCGCAAGCGCGGAGTGATCTTTCAACAAGTGATTGAGTTCAGTGCCATACGGGAATCAGAATGAACGAAATGAATCTGTAGGAAGGAAAATGAAGAAATAATTATGCTTAACAGATAAATCAAACTTCCATTATTGAAAGTAGCTTTCTAGCACTGTGCCTATGAATCATTCTGGCTCTAATCCGTATACAAATGAGAGTTCATCACGCTACCGTTAATACTCGCGGCACACTTTTTTTCAACTTTTTGGCGCGGAAATCATATTGTGAAACTCTTACTTGAGCGAACACCTAAATTAATTAAGCTGTAGCAGTATGATTCACCTTTATATTTAACACGTGTGAGAACAACGTCGCGTTTTGGTTTATGCACCGGTGGACCCAGGCGAGTTTTTTGTGGAAAGGCGCCGCCACCTGACATAAAACATGTGAATTTTGAGCTTTAAACTACGCAAAACTCGGATGCAACAAAATGTTTCGAATGATATTCGATGTGTCAAACTTATCAGAAGGAACAGCTGTAAAAGTTTGATCGAATTGACGTTTTCTGGCAATGAAAGGCAAGTTTCAGTTGCTTTTGCTGTAGTAAACCTCAAAATTATTTTTGACGCGGTTGCTCCACTAAAAACATGTATCTTGCTATATGTGTAGGTCTGTACTTACTTCTACTACTCTTTTTTATGACCAAGATTGTCAGATTATAAAGAAAACTGGGAATGAACACAATTGGGAAATTCGTTAGACTAGGAAAACCTTCGCTAAAAAGGAGCATATTCAACCATTCAATGAACCTCGCCGTGTCTAGTCATATTATGGTGTGGTCTATAGAATAGATGCAAAAAATTAGAAAAGAAGTAGCGCATGCGCGAAAAAAAATTAATTTGTGTGTGCAGCGCATGCGCTGCACACGGTCCCACACGGTGCTCAAGGTGTGATGCGCATGCGCTGCACAATGTCGTCAACGTGTTAAATAGCAATCGCTTGCGCAAGGTCATAAAATGAGTTGCACTTAGCAGTGACTTCTTGGCAAGACCGCTTTTGGTTGGATCTAGCACAATTTCAGCTCCATAACGATGATGCCTACATGACCCCAGAACAGTTATCGGTGTAATTCTCTGCGAGGAGTGAGCGACTTATTTATTTCTGCAACACCAGAATGATAGTCGCTTCCGCTCAACGTACATAAGTGCTGCGTGAAGGGACTGAGAGTGTATTATTTCTTCATCGACTGTCAAAAGAGAGAGCCTAAGACATAAGAAATCAAACTGGGTTATGAACTAGCTGCTCCTTCTTCATGCTCATTAGTGGTATATGGAATAAAAATGAAGGATAAAGCACTTGCCGTTGATCAATCTGGATTTGGGATGCGACATATGTTCTATTATATTATACTTCATTTGTACATTCGTAGTGGCGTTTGAATGCGATGTGGCCTATACAATGACTTGCGGGGGCCAGCCGATGTACAAGTCAGTGTTTTTATCCTCCCAGACAAGTCTGGTACCAATTAACCGACCCCGGAGGGATGGAAGGCTTGGTTGGCCCGGGCGACTCGACCCAGGATTTGATCCCCGGACCGCTCGCGTGGTAAGCGTGCCACTTGTCACTACACCACTCCG